AGATCACTGAGAAAAATACAAGCATTTACATTTTCTGTTTTAAATACAATTGTCACATTGTGCACACTGCAGTTTATGGGACATAAAGAAATATTTTCTGTTCCAAAATTTACAAATGTATTTGACATATAACACTGGATGTTAAAACCTGCAAGGTTTACTGATACACACACAAATATCATATCATTGCCCCAGTCTGGGGTCTTCAGCTCAGAAGGCAGGCTGCAGTCTGTAATTAGAATCATAGAATCATGGAACAGTTTGGGTTGGAAGGGACTTTTAAAGGTCATCTAGTCCAACCCCCCTGCCGTGGGCAGGGACATCTTCCACCACCTCTCTGGGCAACCTGTGCCAGTGTTTCACCACCCTCAGTGTAAAAAATTTCTTCCTTATATCTTCCTTATTAGGACTAGCTTTACATCAGTTAAGAGGCAAAAACTAGCTAACAGCAAAAAAAGCACAAGCAATGGCATCTGTTGAGCTAACATTTTGATTCTGTGTATTGATAGCATTAAGTAAATACTAACAACCCAATATTCCTATCATTTATACAGTAATTTTACTCATTCCATTTAGCCACATTATGTTAGAAACTTGGAATAAGATAACTGATTTCATGGACAACTGGTTCACCTTCCTCAAAACTTACTACGTATGAAGCACTGCAAGACATGAAATACATAAAGGGTAAAACAATAAACAAAATAAAATCAGAAGTGTCTGAAGAATGCAGGCAGAACAAAAAGCATTTAAGTACATTTATAAGACCCATTAAAGCCTTAAGAACTGGGCTAGTAAGCCTAAATTAAATTCTTACCTGCATCAAACATATCGAGCAGATTCACTAACGTCTCAAAAGCTGCAAGGCGTACACTGCTGCCCTCATCTCTTGCCAGTTCTACTAACTCAGGAAGCACCACAGTTTTTGTTAGTTCTGTCCTGCAAAATGAGGCAAGCAGTCAAGAGAAAACATATAATGAAACAATATTGCCACAGCAAAACAGAATTCTTCCTTGAAATACTCATTTAGATATTTTTTGGGTAGTCAAGAAGGAAAAACTGACAAAGTTGTAAGGAAATGAAAATTAAATAAAAACCTCCAGTTAATCTCAGGACTTTTTTCTTTGTCAGCCAAAGAAACATGCAAGTTTAAAATGCGAGCTTCCATCACTAAAAAAGCATTCAAATTAGCTCGAAATAAATCAGAGAAAATGCAGTCTGAAAAACCTCAAAGGAGTCCAGCTACTTCACTGTGTCACTAAGAAAACTATTCTGATCAAATATGCAGAAACTGCTCAGTGCAATGGTCCAAAGCCAAACATTATTAAATATGAGCCATGTTGGATTGAAGTGTCTGGAAATCTTACGCTTCAAAGCTGAGCCTTCTTTACAGGGGTAAGCAACTACTGCTCAGAGAAAACACGTTTTCCCAACTAGCCCAAACACTAGCTTTTAGGTTTGTTTTAAGGTAGTAAAGAAAGGGTTCTGCTTGTCTCTTTTTGCCTTGGTAATTACTAGCACTATCTGAGTGTGTGACAGTCCTGACAACTTGAATCTATACATTGGCAGCAGGTTGCTGTATTAGGGACCGACTTAGAAATCAGAGTTTAATTAGAGAGGTGACTAAGGAGGAGTGAAATACTCGACACAAACATTTGCGCAGTAAGGTGACTGGCATAAGTAAGATGAAAAGAGATTCACTTTTTGGAGCAAAAGTATAGTTTCTGTAGAAGCTACCAATCAGCATAATTTCCCATGTCCCAGCATGTAACAAATTGTTGATTGCTTTAAGAGATTAGAAAGATCTTGTTCTACCAATGAGAACTGGGAAGACATACCCAGTATTTCCTTTTTTTTTTGTCATGCTCATTTTTTATTTATAGTAGTCAAGATTTCTAGTGTTTGAATTTGTCTGCATTTGAGCTAAGAAGCCCGCTTAGTCCTGTTCTCGTGTATGAGCTCTGCTCGTCAATTAGTGAAAGCTGTTGTAAGCACCACATCTCAAGAACGGGACCTCAGCAATTTACAATAGCCAGGGATCTGGCCCTCAATGTTTATACTGCCCAAAATATAAACCTGCAGGGGAACACTGATAAAATTACACTACATGAGCATTAACCAAGATGACAAAATCAAAATTATGTTTGACACTTTGAGCAACTGTGTATGAAGAATTTAGACTCTGTCATTCCAATCACAGTTTTTAATACAGAACTAATCACAACCTCCAGGATGACAGATTTTTACTGAAATAAAAGTGCCCAAAATACCCCTTCCAATCAAACTAAACAAGTAACAGCTGTCCCTTTTGTAAACCAATAATAGTTTCAAATGTTTATAATCAGCATCAAAGTGATTTGCACCTTACAGAGTTTATTATTCTTACCAGCAAATCAAGATGTAGCTTAAGGGTATTCTTCCAAACAGATGATTAATCATTCATATAAAATTATGAGAAAATGGCATATCATTTAGTGGTAACATCACTGAATAGTAAAAATAAGCATTGGGACTGTTGTCACATTATGCCTTCAACATTTACCTAAAAACGTGCTTATTTCTGTTTATTTAATTGTCTCTATTTTCCTACTACCTATTCATCCTCAACATGAAACACTGCAATAGTTCACATACCGAAAATACCGACAGTTCACTGTTTCTTATGAGATTAAAGCACCTAAATCATTGGGAAGGGAATAGGCAGAAACCTCAGAGAGAAAACAGTGTATATGGATACATTAACGCTAAAAATAAAAGTTAGGGAGGAAAGAATTAAAGAAAAATATACAGAACGGACCACTAATTGATGACTATGTATTTAGGCCTATTAAACCCCACTACTCTAAGGCTGGGTAAATTGCCAGTAATACTGTCATTTGCCACGGCATAACACCTATCTTGTTTTAAGACTTTCATCTCCCAGGTATAATAAATGCAATTTAGTTCATTTTAAAGACACTAAACAGAATGAAGAGAATTTTACTTCCTTTCTAAAACGGTCACTTGTTAGTATAAGATATAGCCACCTTGTTACAAATGAAAACAACTTTTTTGCTTCTTCTTTCACACTGCTTAGTATACGTTGAACTTAAACAGCATTTGGAGGAGGAGTGAGGAAAACAACACAAATGCACACATTTAGTTCTTATTTTAACACCCGGCTGCACATATACCTATCTTAAATGTAAAATAAACTTGCTGAAAGCAAATTCACACAGATTCACACAAACTGTGAGTGCTTCTTAAAGGCTACCACCAAACCCATTTTCTGCTTCTCAATAGACTGAGTCACAAGGCAAGAAAATCTGTGCAGTCGTACATTTTTAAAACATAAAAAATGTTTCACTAATATCTGAAAGGAATATTCTCTAACTATACGCATACCCTAGATATTATGGGTAAAAGAACTCAACATACTTACGCTATTTAAAAAAAAATTATTTTGCTGTATTATGTGTCATAAATTTTCAAAGCCAAATTCATATGATTACTTCTCAGCTCTTGACTATAGCTGAGGTTAACTGAGAAGATTAGAGGAATCAATGGATACGCAGACAGTATCTCAAATAAGACACCAAAAAAATCTCATGGGATTGAGCAATAACAAATGAGAAAAGAGGAAGGAAGGTGATTGAGACAGACAAGAACATATGTTGAAACATATGGAGAAAAGGAGGCTGAGGGGAGACCTCATCGCTCTCTACAACTACCTGAAAGGAGGCTGTAGCGAGGTGGGTGTTGGTCTCTTCTCCCAAGTAACTGGCGAAAGGACGAGAGGAAATGGCCTCAAGTTGCGCCAGGGGAGGTTTAGATTGGACGTGAGGAAAAATGTCTTTACTGAAAGAGTGGTTAAACATTGGCACAGGCTGCCCAGGGAAGTGGTTGAGTCACCATCCCTGGAAGTATTTAAAAGACGGGTAGATGAGGCGCTTAGGGACATGGTTTAGTGGGCATGGTGGTGTTGGGTTGACGGTTGGACTCGATGATCTTGGAGGTCTCTTCCAACCTTAATGATTCTATGATTCTATGATTCTATGTCCAGTTCCACAGTCACAAAGCCTTCTGAAAATATCCAGGTAGAAAAGTGGGGGGGGGGGGGGAGAGAGAAAGAAAAAAAATATTGCTTTCCAAATATGTTTCTGTGGATTTCCATTTTGCTGGCATCAAAAATCTTCAAACTAATGTGACAGTTAGAACCATCCCTCCCTTCAAAACTTGATAGTTATGAAAAAAAAAAAAAATCAAACCGGTCACTCCCTGAAGATAAACAGAACCCTCTCTTTCACTCATCTTTAATCTCCCATTAAACAGAATTCAATTTTAAGATACATAAAGATACATGAGATACATGCATACAGTAAAAATAAATGCAAGCTCAAATTATTCAGTAATTCAGTTTAGTAAAATGCGTGTTAAATTCTCAGTTTTACAAATATCAACAATATCGACAAATACTACCTTTCTCTTCTGTAATCACAAGTTCTTTTAAATTCAAAGCCATTCAATATGGAAAATGGTAAAGTGATTTACCGTGCTAACCCATGTTTTGTTATTAAAAAAAAAAGTACAAAACAAATGAGTAACTTCAGTGAGATGAGTAACATTGTGTTTTCACATTATGCACATCCTCTGAACTTTTGCAGGACAAGGACCTTGCAGAAGAGGTGCCTAAAGCACATATATAAAATTATTTTGTATGCAATAAAGACAAGTTTATCTAGGAATCTAGAAATTACTAACCTGCATGACCTTACCAAAACAGTTAAATTAAATACATGGCAGTAATGCTTAGTTCTTGCTGTGAATATTCATTCCCTACATCTGAGTAAGATAAAACACTGCCTGAACATACACTTTTCCAGTATTCCATGGCTGAGACGTAAATCACATTGCTTCAGGAATTTCTGGAGTTTTGTTTTTGTTTTTTTTAAATAACTGAATATTTTAAACCACAACATAATTCTCCATTAAAAAAAAAAAAAAAATCATTCCACAGCCTCAGGAAGGCATCTTTTCCACGAACACCAGTACTAACAAACTGAAGTGCATATTTACCGTATCTTTCGAGTTACATTTCAGTTTCAGCCTCATCCTTGACTTTGCTCATAAATTCACAATTTTAAAAGCCAGAGGGACTCTTAAGATCTAATCTGTTCCCACTGTATAACACAGGGCAGGGAACCTTACTTGATAATTTCTTCAAGTCTGTTAAGAGAAGTTACTGCTTTTTTTCCTTCCTGACACAATAACAGGTGGACAGACCTGAAATTTTAAAATATTTGTTCACTCAGAACCCAATCCTGTGTGGGTAGTTAACATGTTCTATTTATTAAAATAAACATTCCAGACTTTTTCTATTCCTATATATGCAATATTGAAAGTCTTCAAGCTTAGAGTAGAAGTTGATACTGAACTGAAATTTGCTTACAAAACACATTTTGCCTTTCGCAAAAAAACGCACAGTAATTATTAGAAACTGCTAATACTTGCCACAATCCTCTTCCATTTTTAAATAAGCCCAATGACATGAATGGATAATTGAGATGATTTCAAGAAGCTATAGATGAACTCATTTACAAAAAACTGTTGTTTGTATGCTTCAGCAATTTTACTATCAGAGAGAAAGAAAAATCTGAAAATGGAAAAGAGCCAACTGCCAACAGCCAATTCCTAAGAACACATCTGTACACTCCAAATTCATTATTAAGTACGCATGAATTAAGTTAGAAATCTTAAAAGGAGTTTTTAGGTTACCATTAAATATTTTAGAGAAAGATTTTGCATTAAGAAGCAGTTATGCAAATTGTACTCACCCTATTCCTTGAGCTATATGCTCCAGTTGCCGACACATGCAAGTTCTAACTTCATATTCCACATCCTGGCACAGTGATTTTACCAATGGAAGAATCTCTCTTTTAATACTAAAAATGTGAACGTTTTTTATTAATATACAGAACAAAAACATATAAAATCCACTCTGCAGTACTCAAATTTTACCTATATATTACTTCTAATGGCAATTTTTTTAAAACTAATTTATCACACATGGTAAACGATTTTTCTGAGAATTTGCAATTCTAAAACAATACTGTACATCAGACACAAATATGTGCTATAAAGAAACAGAAAAAGGATTATTTACAGTCATAAACTGCTCATATTTAATCTATTTTTTTTTTTAAACTACAAAAATAGTAGGTAGACTTAGAGATGCTGTCCTCATTTAATAACCATCTTCAGTACAATTTTTGAACAGCCACTGTAAGAATACAAAGAATTATATAAATGGAAGCGCAAAGCCCAATTAATTGTCTCTAATACCTCATCTTTGGTATGCATGTATCACCAAAGATATTTGGGAAGAAAGTAGAAAAACAATTTAAGATTACAAGCTTCAGTAGTGCAATGTCTTTATGCAAGTAGAGCCAAGTATTCATGTTAAATCAATGGCAGATACAAAATAACTATTTTGAATTCTATTTAAGTAAAAACACATACTATAATTGGCAGAATCAGCCATTGTGTTTCCTTTCACTGCCCAAGATGCTGTCATGAGTATTCATACAATATCTCTATCCAAATCCTTATGTTGTTGCAAAACTCAAGAGAAACAATATGAAGCCGCAGACAAGCAAATTTTCAAGCCAGCCTGCACAGCCTCCACTCATCCCAGTGAAAATTAATTTACCTCTTACAGCAAAATTTGGCCTCAAGTTTCAAAAACTGTACAAAGTCTTGGGAGTTTGGCATTTGAGAATACTCTGAAGTAGGGACTAGTTCCAAAAAAGACTTGTTTTTAACTAGCTGTTGGAACAGAGGGTAGAAAAACTAATGTTCTATTCCAAGGTCGGGACTTTTTCAATACTCTATAAAAATAACCTGGGAGTCATGTGAAATACAAAAGAAAGGTTTTTAATTATAGTATAAATTTTATAAGGAAAAATGGTGCCATTCTGAAGAAGAATGTGAAGATATGCTTATATATTGCCTACTCCTGAGGCCAGACACGTCGCCTGAGCCTCTACCAAGACCCCTGCTGCAAGGGGAATGAGAGTGTTTCATGAATCTTACTCAGCCTGCCACGTTCTAAACCTGTGGATCCAGGTCTCTCTTCAGCCCTCTGAACTGCACTCAGAGCCCTCTACCGGAGGATCAATATGTCCCAGAAAATTCTCAGCCATCTTCTGAACACGTAGCTTCTGTACAGAAATTGTGCTATTATCTGTTCACTGAAATGAGGGGTTTCCTATTTCTGAACAGCAAGGAATCATATTAAAGAAACCCAACAAAAGAAGGTATGATTATTTGAATTTATTATGGCTAACACTATTGTAATTTCTCATAAGATTCCAAGTGATCTGGAAATTCACTTAATTTTCATGAGAATGTAACATCAAATAAATAAAAACAATTGTGATTCTGCCAGAATTCTACAAATTTTGAAGATTCAAAGGCTTTGGTAACATTCTCAAAAAATACTACTTTACCATGCTCATTTCCTTTTCATTGCTTCTAGTTCTTTTTTATTGAAGAAAAAAAATCATAATTAAAAGAAATTTATTCCTAAATGTCTTGTCATGTGGTCCTGTCATTCATCTTTTCTGTTACGCTGAATTCTTGCATTTTGGAGCAGATCAAAATCATTACTAGAGTGGACTTCCTCAGCTAGGCATGGTTTCTGTGCATTTAGTAGCCCTCAGTAGATTTCTTTTGTAATGCAAAGTCACATGTGGCCAATTGCCTGGATAGCAAAAACATTTGGTGAAATGGCCCTACTATCATAAGACTGGATAAACTGTCCAAAGAACATACCATACCAACTGCTTTGGGCAGATAAATTATTCAGATTTACTTTCGTCATTGCTTCCCTCTTCCGCACCACTGTCCAAACCCACAGACACTGAATCTAAGAGCTGGATAATACCAGGCAACAACAATGGCTCCTGATACATCTCCATATAATTAGGGATAGAAAAGTATATCTATATGTTAGATTTGGTTAGACAAATAAAAAGTTAGGAACAGTATTCTTCTCTATGACAAGATACTCTAAGGTGAAGTTGTGTTTTGTCTCTGTAAATTGCAGAGAAATCCAGTTTGGCTTATTTCCTAGTAAGAAAAACAATATGGAAGAATGGCATGAAAATGGTACCCATTCAAAACTGTGGAAGAACATACAAACTGAAGTTATAAACTGATAACCGTCAGCAAGTCTGAATATGCTAGTTATCTAATGAACATTTTTTTACTATTAATAAATATCCAGATAAAGGGATCTGTAAAAGGAAAGCATTTAATTTTTGCAATAAAGTCTACTTTTCTTGTAGTAATTTTTGCCCACTAATAGAGAAATACTGGTATATACTGTGGAATGAAAATATATGTAGGGTTTACTTACATATGAGCTTCAAATTTGTTAGCTAATTTTCCCATGATTTTACAACTAACTAAGCGGGACTGAAGTGTTTGAGAAAGCTGTGCTTTGGAAACAAGTGGATTCAGGATCTATATGAAAGAAAAAAGAAGAAATGTGAACAGAAGAAATGTGAGCAGTAAATAATGTATTCCCCTTCTTAAAAAAAAAATCTAGAAAAACGTATCCCAAATGTCATCTACCCCTTTCATGGAATTAATCAGTACTAACAATAATAATGCCTATGTACGTTAACAGTCTATTGGAAAGCTGTATTTAATATTCAGTGCTAACTATAGCATACGAAACCCATATTTTGGCCCAAATAGCAGTTTATGATTCACATCACAGCCACAGTTTTACATCTGTCTACTTGTGTCTTTATTTTGAGACTAAGTTGTATATGAATATTTATAGCTATTAGCTGGTAATTTTCACAAAAGTTGTTAAATATGTTCCTGCACAAGAAAAAAAATGCAGAGAAAGGAAAAGGAAGCTTCTCTGAGATTCTTTCTCATAAGTTTTCCCAGGAAACACCACTTCTGATGTAAAGTTTTGAGGCAATGATCCCTCTTGATCATGCATACTTTGGGGATCTGTAGGGAAGAGGTTTCATTTCCATACAGATGCAGAAAACCTGCATCTTTATTGGAGCTCTGCTGTCATTTGTTGGATCACCTGTGTGGTGCCAGAAACAAAGAAAGGCAGGCCTGCAGAGCACCGTATTTACATTTTTTTTGCCCAGAAATAATCACAGAAATCCAGGTGCCAGGCCAAAAGGAACATTACAGAGAGGTATCTCCTGTAGTCTGCCACAGTTCCTCACTCAATCTCTTGTGCAGAGCTCCACAAAAGGATAATATCCAGGGCAGGAAAGTCCAACAAAATTCTAAAAGCATTTTTCTCCTCCTCTTACCAGCTGAAATTTTGAGGTAAGAGAATCTTACCACTGCAAGGACAAATATATCACCCAGACTAGAATTAGTACATGAAGTATGCTTCTAACTATAACACCGCATAAAGAAACATATTATTACCTACAAAACTGTGTATTACTTATTTAGTCTTTGAACTATGACAGCAAACACACCATGTCTAATAATACTAACTCCAATTACTAACCTAGACACAGTCTCTCCCATGAAGTGGCCATTGCCAGAGACAGGATACTGGGTTAGGCTGACCTTTGGTCTGACACACACACCTTTCCTTATGTCCTTGAAATCTAGGATTGTCCTATGATTTTTACTTACAAAAAAAAATTAACAACTAGAATATTCCAAGTTTTCTGATACAAAGATCCTTCAAGTAACACAAAAAGCTCCTTTTGAGATTCCGGTTTCTGTATAGCTGCTGAATCAACACTGCTTTATCAAGTTGTGATCTTCCCAAAGCAAATTTTTGTGGAAACTTATAAATGTGTTCCTAGAGACAAATCAGGGGAGAAACTCCACCTTGCTTAAATGGCATCTTTAAAATTACATTACAATTAGATTTTGGAGGTGACTAGAATAATTTCTCTTTTTTTTCCAACCTAACTTCTCACCCTTCAGAAGTTTATGTTTTAAACAGTGCTGGATTTCAATTACCCACTAATTTTCATGAGTATTTTTGTACTACACAAACGATAATATATTTAAATCTCCGTATTGTTTTAAATTATAAACACAGTAAAATATGCCTGTTGCAAAGCTTTTAAACTTAACAATGAAATATGAATACTCAAAACAAAACTGAATAAATTAGCTGAGTAAAGGGGAGTGACATTATGACAGTGACAGATTTTCTTCCTCTTTCTTGAGCTACACAGTGAAAAATTAAGGGTGTTTGCAGGGCATTAGGTTTTTGGTACATGAAGAACAATTGAAATACACAATGAAACGGATTTCTAGCATTCAATCCCATTTAGCAGAAATCAGAATTTTAGTCCAGTAGAAAACAAAAATGTAGTTCTTTAATGAAGACGACACAGAATGAGATACTATCCTGTAAACCAAAACAGGATACATGAAAACGTTACTGAGAATGCTAAGTGCAGGGGAAGTGTTACAGTAAATAGTTTATTTGCTGAAGAACACTAAAATTTTTTAGGGTCACCTTTCTGTCTCGCCTTTTAGCACATTCCTTTCTCACAGCATGTTCTGCAAGCATTACTGTTTTCACAGGCATAGAACTGCCACAAATCTTACTGAAGTGAATGAGACTTGCAGGGAACTACAATCTTACAAAATATTATTAATTTGTTGTTAGTGGGAGAATATTATTACCTCGTGTCTGATAGTCTCTTTTGGTAAAGCTTCTATTACAGCAAGAAGAGTTTCTAGCCATGCATTGCTGACACCTGTTAGAAAGAAAAGGGTTATGTGTTATGTTGTACATATAACGAGTATAACAAAACACACACCAGTTTTACAAAATTAGTTCTCATTTTTTAAACTCATCTCTTCAAGGAGCTATATATCTAAAAGCCACTAAATTAATATTCAAGGCTTCAAACACTCATTAAGAGTGTAGGATAGGTGAGAAGCAAATTCTGTTCCGGTAGAGGAAAATAATTATCCTGTTTGTTTTGAAAAGATGATTTCCCTCATTTAGAAGCATATTCTTTCTTATACCCACTGAAACTTTCTAGTTTTACAATAGGTCCTTTTTTCTTCCCATCCTAAAAATAGTGTCAAAGAAGTTAAGAAAAACTAATCATTACAGCAGAAACGTCAACCATTCTCCCTCTATTTTCTCAGCCAAGGAACCCTGGTACTTCAGTAGAAGCTTGGACTTAGTAACAACTTTGGGATTTAGTCCTTCAGACAAAGTGTTTTTGTTTGCTTCAATCAGAATTACATTTAAATATCAGTATGTAAGTGGTCAGCATGCAAAAATCTTTTCATTCATGCAAGTCTAGATACAAAGTCACAGTGACTGCACTCACTGCTTTACACAGTATTGTACGATCACTAAGGAAACAAAACATATAGAAGTAATCAGTCATCAGCATAGTTGTACAGCCCTGACCTGCATCTCTGTGTTCCAGGTGCTGGAGAATGATGTGTAGGAAGGAGTGCGAGTACGTATGAATGGACACTGACTCCTCTTGCAGAACAGTCAAAAATGAAACAGCAGCTGTTAACTGCATTTCCACTCCTGCAACATGCAGCACCTCCTGTATAATTACAAGTTATATCAAATTTAAAGCATGAGGCAGAAATAAACTGCAAGAACATTCAAATTTTTACATTCATTTTTTAGAGTGAATATGCAACAACCTGGGTCAACTACAAAATTGGCTGCAAAATTATTTTCTCTTAACAGCAATTACTTGGAGATATTAAATCTCTTATAGTATGAACCTTTTAAGAAAAATAAAGTTAATGATAATATTTTTTGCACTTTCAGTTTCACCAACGCATATGAGTGGATTTTTCAACTTTACAAAATGAGAGGTAAAAAGAGACCAGCCAACGATTGCACTTCTGCTGTTTATGCACATGAATAAAAAAAGAAATATTTCATTCATCCAGTGAGAGATACTAAAATAGCAGAAGGCAATTTAAATTTCATCCCTTGCCAACTGACATAGAACACAAATGAAAATGAATATATATATATATATATAGTCTTAAGAATAGCAAGATGTACTAGAATATTTATCTAGGTAACTCAGCATTTACTAGGACTTAGCTTTTACATACAAGAATACAATTAATTAGGCTGTCTCTAAAAGCACCCATTCAAAAGTTAAACAAATATAATATGGGAACGAAATATTACTAAATTTTTTGAATGAAACAAAAAGGAAATTTAAATTTCAAATTTATGCACATGCCAAAGAGCTTGTAGGATGCAATCTATGACACAGCATTCATTTTAAGTATGTACATATCTATCAGCTAGGTGAACATTGCATTTGTTCACTTCTCTAACTGTATCTCTCTATCTCATGAGAAAATAAAGTGCATTATTCTACTACTAAAGCATTACACTCATTTTACAAATTATTCCGAATTCAGTAAGAGTTTAATGCCCTTACTTCCTATTTAACACTTTACATATGTGGTCTTGCTTCTTTTTTTAAAGTGCTTGAGAGGAACCGTGTTTTCTCAGATCACATATCAAAAATCAATAAGCTGATATTTTAATTTTAAAAATAAGAAAATATCCATTATGCACCTAGGTATTATATAGCAGAGGAATTTTGCTGAGAAAATACAGTTTGCAGAGAAAATCTCAGAAATTATTTAGTAGACTTTGCTTACTTCAAAGTAAAACAAGAAGTTTTCATTACACAAATGTCAACCAGTTTGTGTGTGCAAATGTATAATTTCTGGTTTATCTGATTTCAAAGAGAACCATTACTTACCTCTCAACAGCTGTCTCAGTTTACAGCTGTGTATATTTGTAACAGCATTCTCTGTGCCCCTGCTCCCCCACACGAAAAAAAGAAACAGCATTGTGCAGCTTACCAATCAAAGTGTGATAAAATATTTGCATTCAATAGCCACAGGAACCACCCTCTTGTTATCTCCACAGCCTACCTCTGCCCTTGTTCCTCCATTGTTATTACAGCAGCCAAGAATAAGGACACCTACCAATTTTGTAATTTGAATGTTTCTGGGATCAAAATACCTGTGCATACTGTTCTGGGATTTTGGCTTATGCTTGTTAAAAAAAAAAATCCCCAAAATAATCAAAAGAACTACCTACACACTGTAGATGCTAAGACACCACTGCAGACCAGAACATAATGGAGATGAATTCAATTTTATGTACGAATTCACTCTGTACGCAATGCAAACAGGGTTACTTACCATCAAATAAAGTTTCCACATAGTCTCCTCCACAGATCCACACAAGTCTGGATAATTATGTGTGAGAACACATTCTCTGGATGTGCCTCCTCATGGACCTCGGAGACACTGAAATGTAAATTTCTAGATTGCTTACCTGCCTGCATTGATGTTTGCACTCAGAATTGTACAGTTCCACATATGAAAATGTATGGGTCTCCTCATTCCGATTTCACTGAACTCAAGTTGAGTGACTTAAATTTACGTAATATAAATTTATTTATTTAGAAAGTAATTAATTTTCTAATTAATTTAAAAATACATGGATCCTCCACAGCTGCTCACTCTGGAGGAAAAAAGCTTTTCCTGTCTATCTTACTCAGACAAGCATATTTAAAGGAATTTAAGGATATTAGCATGTTCTTGAACTATCCTAATGTCTACGAGTTAAACTCGGGCATCAAAACTTGCAAAATTTAGAAAGCCTGGCTTATTCCAGTAATTGGAAAACAGAAAATTCACCTCGCACTTTATGTCCTGCAGCAACAGAATTCTCTTGAAAGAACGCTGCAAGCAGAAACATAGTCAGTCGCTTTAGTAACTGCGTTGATATGACAGAAATCTTCATTTAGGACTAGAAAGACACAGAAATAATGGAGATTACAGAAGCTCAAAGATACAATGAGGATGGACCTTAAAAAAATCAATGTTAGGTATAGGACAGGGTGAAAATCACCCCACCTCTTCTTAAACTATAAAATCAACTAGGAAAAAAGAAAAGCTTTCAAGGGGAGACTGATATATTAGGAAAATAAGTAACTGTGAAAATGCGTTTGGAACTAATCAGACAGCACCAAATAAGGCTTGATGTATACACTTCAACAGGAGTAGCCATAGTTTTCTGCAATCACAGCATTTGGAAATCTCTCTTACTAGTCAATCAGATAGACACCTGCAATCTCCCTCCACTGCTTCTGGTGGCAGTGCCCAAAGATGGAAAACAGGGAAAATACTAAAAACATCATTTGAAAGGAGCCATCTGGTGCACAACAAGAAATGCTGAGAAGAAAGCCTAAGCTTTCCCTAAATCTGCATTTCAATGACTTCCAAGGTTCATGAGGAGGTGCATGCAGAAATCCAGAGTGGGGATCTCTATGCAAAAGAACCATGCAAGGATGACACTTCATTTTAACTGTAGAATTTTAAAAAATATTTCATAATCTCATTCCTATGTTAACATCTAAATGATATACAACATATTTGTTTTATTAGCATAACCAAAATACTGACACCCAATTTAATCATTACTTAGATCTGGCATATTTGTTGACATATTGTATGTTTGATTTTGCTCATCTCAGACCTAAAACACTTATGTTAAATATATAAAGGGTCTTTGATATCATTTTAATTTAATTAGGTTTTAAGGAATGATAAGCAATTTGCATATATCTATTTCTATATTTATTTATAAAAGTAACCAGGTTATCAATTTCTCACAAGTGAAATAAAAATTTGTAATGTACCCAGCCAGAACATTCCTTGCATTTATTTCTTCCTGTATCTGTTTTATCCTCAGCTCTAATAAAAACAGTATTTTTTTTTTTGCTTTTGGGTTTCTGCAAGTATGCTAAATAAGTACACTGGTTTCCCTACCCAGTTATATGGTGATGATACTTTCAGATAAATAGCACCCTGAAACTACTATACAACTCATTTTTCATGTGCAAATTTGAATTCACAAATTATTTTTCGCAATCTACAGAAGTGAAACCAAGTGCAGTAATTTAAGTCAGCTTATTTCCCTGCAATGCCAGACTACATTTGCAAGACTCTAATTGCAGTTGAGTTCGATTATGCCTTTATAGACTATAACAGTTTCCATTTAATGATCAGGACTATTCCTCCAATAAAAACAAGGATAAGAAAAAAAAAATCAAGTGCTTAATGATGCCAAATATGGTTTTGCAGTTAAAAGTGAAGTGAACATGGGTACAACGGAACTGTTCTTCTATTACAGATTAAATAAATATTAGGTAACAGAACACCATTGAAGAACCTGCTTTATAAGAGTATAGCCACAGAAAGAAATTTAACTGATATACATTCCAGAAAGTTTTAATTTATAAAGCTTAAACCTGAAAGGAACACTTAGATTTAGACTGACCTCATTATATTTCACTCTCTTACCTCTGCCTTGAGCACATGAACTTAAGTTTCATTTAATTTATCATCCAGGAAGGTATTCAGTTTGGATTTAAATGACACTGCAAGATGAAAAACACACTACTGTTCTCAGTTATTTGCTCAAAGATTGATTGGATTTATTATTAAAATTGTCTGCTTCATTTCTAATATTTCTGTCTTCAATTCCTAACTCTTTTTTTTCATATACTGTTTTCAATATTGAATGTTCTTCAATATTATGCAGGAAGATATTTTTACAAAGTAATTAAGTACTGCCTGATCTAAATACACTGAGCTCCAACTCCCACCGTACAAGTATTTTCCAGGCCCTAGGCCCTGATCATGCTAATGATCATCCTTTTAAATTTTTCCTCCATCCCTATATAAAAAACCTAAGACTAGAATCAAAAACTCTATTCCCATATTAGACTGTTTATTAAAGACAGAGAGGCAAAGTCTACCAATCCTCCACACCCTGACAAACAAGGGTAAAAAAACCCCAGCATTTATTATTACTCTTTCATTTCAGGAAGAACTCGGCTCTCAAAGCAGAAACTCCAGAGACAAAAATGGATTTGGTATGTTAAACAGACAATAAAAAAAAAAACTTTTCTTGAAACCAGCAGGTTGGTTTAGGAAAGAAGGCATTATGAATGTCATAATAACATGTGGTAGTAACTGTAGAAACTGGATGTAAGTTAAAGGGTTTTCAATTACTTTGCAACTTCAAGTCATTCTTTTTCTCAAAGCATTTTTTTTTAATACACATATATATATTTAAACAAAATGCCTATTGACCTGCATCATATAGCACAGAATATGATAACTAGAAGTACTTTAATGCTTTCTAAACAATCTGTCAGTCTATACTAGTCCTCAGTTCTGAGGACAGCTATTTCTTGGCCATTTGCTGAATTTAAATAATCAGACAAGTTGGAACAGCTCATCTTAAGAAATAGGAGTCTCCTGGGATCACAGAAGTTTCAGGAGATAATATGAAGTTGAAAGGTGATGTCTGATATTCACAGAATCACAGAATGGTTGAGGTTGGAAGGGACCCCTGGAGGTCATCTGTTCCAATCCCCCTGCTCAAGCAGGGCCACCTACAGCCAGAACATGTCCAGACAACTTTTGAATACCTCCAAGGAGGGAGACCACAACCTCTCTGGGCAACCTGTGCCAGTGCTTGGTCACCCTCACAGTGGAAAAGTGTTTCCTGACTTTCAGAGGGAACCTCCCGTGTTTCAGTTTGTGCCCCCTGCCTCTTGCCCCGTCACTGGGTATGACTGAAAAGATCCTGGCTCCGTCCTCTTTGCATCCTCCCTTCAGGTATTTATATACATTGATAAGATCCCCTTCAAGCCTTCTCTTCTGCAGGCTGAACAGTCTCAGCCCTCTCAGCCTTTCCTCAGAAGAGATGCTCCAGTCCCTTAATCCGCTTTAATATGCCCATGTCTCTCTTGTACTGGGGAGCCCAGAACTGGACACAGTGCTCCAGGTGTAGTAGAGTAAAAGGTGGAGTAGAGGGGAAGGATCACCTTCCTCAAACTGCTGGCAATGTTTTGTCTAATGCAGCCCAGGGGCATGGGGGCTGCGGCAGGGGCACACTGCTGGCTCATGTTCAAATTGGTGTCCACCAGGACCCCTTGCCCTTTTCTGCAAAGCTGCTTTCCAGCTGAGTGGCCCCCAGCATATATCGGTGCATGGAATACTACTGAGTACATCTACCACATGGAACCTAAGACAACTCCGCAGTAGGGCTTGCATTTAAATATCCTACAGAAGAATATTTGCTAAGTAATCAAGTTGAGGACTGCCTACATATTTGTTCCTCATCTTTCAGTCAATCAATTCATAACAAATGAGCAGAATGTAACTCATTAAGTTAGTTTTTCACAAGTACTGAACTATCCCTTGAGCAGCCTCTTTCTTAAGATTAGGAGACAGTGGGAGGATTCCGTTTAAGACCAATTCCACAGGCAGTAAGAAATACACCAAGTACTTTTTCATAATATGGTATTTTTTCTGGAATACTTTTATTAATATAATGTTAAGGTAGCTGCCTTAAAAGTAAAAATAAAAAAGCCGAGAGATATATCCACAAAGCTTTTCAATAAAAGCAGCAACTGATTTCTTCAAAACTTCAGCAAAGAAAACCATGAAATGTAAATGAGAATTTACTGGAGCAATCAAGTATGATTTCCACATGGGCCCACTTTGCTATTTAGTAATCATCTCCTCAGTAGATAGAAATCTGTGTAACATAAGCATGTGACTCAGCCATGTCACCTTTGTTACTAATAAAATTACATACTTTCTTACACCTGGCAATGAGAATCTGATACAGATATAGCAAGAAAACTCATAGCAGCTGCTACAGAAGACTTTTTCTTCTCATCCCTAAAGTGCTTGAGATAGAGAAGACAAGGTGGTAGCTGAGGAGATTCTTAACATAACTCAGACTTTCAGTTCAATGTATTTTAGATCATCAAATTCATATTTAGCTTGAATCGGTAACTAGTTAAAGTCTTTCTGTCTTTCTGAAGCGATCTAAATATTCTTCTTAAGCATTAGTTGTTTGTAACAAGAAAATAACATTCCTGTTGGCAAATTGTGTTAAAAAGGGAAAGAATTTTAAATTATATGGGGGGAAAAAAACCTAAATTCTACAAAGCATCCTGGTAAAATCATGACTGAATCACACTACTGAAAATGTCAAATGTATCTCTAAAAATGTATGGGGAAACTGAGTCTGTCCATAAAATTATGAACACAACTCAATGCTTTGAAAATAAAATTTCTACAAGAAACCCTTGAGATTTTTACCTCTTCTTCCATAGAGAGCACATACATTCAAACAGCTACTACAGCCAAACAGCTACTAACAAACATAAAGTTCCTTTAGCTGACAATTTGTATAAATTAGAACCAGGTTAGTATCAAACTGATCAATTGCATGAGACCAGGCCAGAGACTGTTCTAAATCAAAACTTTGATTTAATCACATGAAAACTGTCAATGGTATCAGTAGAAGACTGACAATATACTGATCCAATGAAAAAAACCCTCAGAAATTTGCTGTTACCAAAATAAACTTTCAGATATTTTGATAGCCCAAACCAATGTATTTTTCCACTCAGCTGGTAGCCTTAAAATCAATGAAAATCACTCTAACAGGCAGGCTAACATAATCAAAGTCTTAATTCCTGTTGTAGCCTTACATAGAGTTATCAGACTTATTTAAGAGTTATTTAGCTTTAGAGTTACTAGGCTTTGCATTTGCGTTTGTGATGCAGTTTGTTCTTATTTGTCTGAAACTGCTCCTTAAACCACACCTTAAATGAACTTTATCATTTCTTCTAGGCAAGGGGTCATACCTGGGGCTGAGTGGAAATACAGAGATATTTATCTTCCTTAAAATCATAGAATGGTTTGGATTGGAAGGAACCTTTAAAGGTCATCTAGTCCAAACCCCCCTGCAGTGAGCAGAGACATCTTCAACTAGATCAGGTTGCTCAGAGCCCCATCCAACCTGGTCTTGAATGTTTCCAGGGATGGGGCATCCACCACCTCCCTGGGCAACCTGGTCCAGTGTTTCACCACCCTCAGTGTAAAAAATTTCTTCCTTCTATCTAGCCTAAATCTACCCCCCTTTAGTTTAAAACCATTCCCCCTTGTCCTGTCGCAACAGGCCCTACTGAAAAGTCTGTCCCCATCTTTCTTTTAAGCCCCCTTTAAGTACTGAAACGCAACAACAAGGTCCCCCCGGAGCCTTCTCTTGTCCAGGTGAAACAACCCAAACATCCTTTATACAAACACATCTGCATATAAAATTACTGTATAACATTACATGGCCAGCATGCATCTACCACAGCTAGCAGTGGCTTACTAAAAATGTGGAGGGCAGCACATGAAACTTCAGACAGCTAAAAGCAAAGTATACTTTTCTAGATAGTGGCATGAAAATCTTAATGTTTGGATGGAAGGAGATTGAGAGTGTCAAAATGAATCATTATGACTGGCTGGTCCTCAAAAAAAGTTCTCAAAAAGCTGTCAAAAACACTGGTAAATCTTTAGAATATGTAAATAGTATTAATTCTGCTTCCTTTTCCTGTTCTAACAGTTTTCAAAAAATATAATACCTGCAATACTTTGTAAATTCAGTGAATTAATGTGGAAGATCTACTGGACATACTTCTCCTAGAGAGTGAGCTTGCAATGAAAGTGGGGGGGTTTTGCCTTTGTTAAAATACTTATACTGGCAGAAAGAGATACATTCAAACCTCCTCACACACAACTTACTCTGATTTTCGGTAAAACCCGACGAAGTGTTTCTGCAGGATTCTGTCGCATCAGGACTGGAAGATTTGCCACCACACTTGTTCCTTGGATATCCTGGCCAGAACTTACAAAAATATATACATACAATACATTACTCTCTGTGATGGTTACAAGCTCACAGCTTTCATTTAAAAAAACAAAACAAAACAAAACAAACCCAAACCAACAACAACAAACCCAAACTACCCAGGTTGTTCATATAATAAGTCGAGAGGCATTACTTTTTTTTTATATAATATGTAGTAGAAAACAACATTAAAATATCAACCATAAAAGCTGTTATGTATCATTTCTAATATGGAATGTTCTGATTTTTAGTGTAGCTTTGGAAAAAATACAAGATGTTTGAAAGATCTTTTCAAACTGGATGATCAAGGCAGTGGTTTTGTGGAAGCTTTTATATTTTAACAATACAAGTGATAAAGCATAGGAAGGGGACAAACAAGATATAAATGAAAACTACACTCAGCATACAACAGTTTAACAGAAATCTACCATTTTTTCCTTTTTGTAG